GAGGATCTAATGAAGCCCATTGAAATAACTTTCATCGATCAGAGATGCTCGACAAATTTTTACTATTAATAAAGAAGTCATTTTAGCAAGGATAATACTTTTTTATTGCCCAAACATTGGATTAAAGCTATCTTAAAACTTAAGAATTATAAATAAGAAATTAATATGTTTTTATTGATGAAGGCATTTCAGACCCGTTAACGAAATATAAGTATAGGTATTACCATTAATAAGTCCTCTTAAGTAGCTTAATTAACGTCCATCTCTTTCCCTGCTTAGGCCTCTCCCAATTTCAATTAAATATATGTATTGGGGTAGCCAGAGAGCCAGAAATAAATAATTGTAAAAGTTTGTCAAAATAGGAAAATATACTTACTATATATAAAGATATTTCTTTATTTGATATTCTAAAATTTAAATTTGTAAGGAATAGAATATAATGAAATCGTTTGGTGTATGCTGTGCCAAAATTTGCTGTTGGATGAAGCTAGTCCCTAAAATTCCTGTAATATCGTTAAATAGAAGAAGACGGATTAATTAACCGATATATATCGATTCTTTGGAAACAGGGGAGGGCATTATAATAATTTATAATTATTATTTAAGATAACAACCTGACCATATGCAACATATTTTCGCACGCCCAAGCCATGAAAACCTAAAGATTCCCACGGGAAATATGGCTGGCACGCGTGTCGATTCCATACTTTCTCGAAACCACAAAAAGCAGCTCTTAGCAGTTGCACTTGCACCGGGGACAGACACACACAAGCGACGTTAAAGGATAATGCGCCACACGGCAGCGCCGTCGAACAATCGGTGGACGCGCCTTTAACTTGGGGTTGTTAGCCCCGTCTAGGGTTGGGTAGTGGTTGGTGGGTGGTGGGTGCGCCGCAGACGGAAGTCATGCAAAAACGTGCCGAGCACGAGTCGTGAAGAACTAAAGCAATACTGCGAGCCGTCTCCTGCTCGTTGTCGTCTGTTGTTGACAGTTCCTTCGTTTTTGTACCCTGCTGGCCCAATTTAACTTCGAGCTAGTCCCATTAGCTAACTATTTACAGCTAACTGACATATTTCTAGCCCATAAACTGCAACCACCACCAATAAACGACTCCAGAGCTATCCAGTTTATGAGTTGAACTCTGATCAGTCAATAAACAAATATATTCTGCAGAATTATCAACGCTTGTCAATGTTAATTATCTTCCAATGGATGGTAGCCTGTTGGATTAGCTGCTGTAGAGCATTCGTGTTAGTTTCCAATCTTTCCTTGACAATCTGATAGTCTCCTTCTAAAACCACAATGACAACAGACGGTAGTATCTGTGCAGATATGCTAGAAGTCTTGGGCTTATTTTACATGTTGAGCTAATTATGTCCAAAAATTGACAAGCCAATTTCGGCCACATTTTAGAGACAAGGACTAGATCAACAAATTAATCTAAATATGTATTCCTCGGATCCGCTCGCCCCAAATAAGAAAATGTTTTTGAATTCCATATTACAATCCGAAGTTAGCTTAGAATAGCAGGACACATAAATGGTCCATGGTGCTCTTTAATTGATTTATTTATTAATAAATGGTCAACAAAAACGATATGGTTTCTAAGTATTCAATTATGGAAATCATATGCTAAAAGCCTTGTTAGTTCTCAAATTTTGTTGAACCAATTTAACGACTTTCAAACTATTTGCTTCTGCATAAAATTGTTAGATTATAAATTTATTAAAAGCTACCTTTTGCCGTGTTTAAAGTGCTGAACTGTCTTTCAGTTTCCGATGCACCTTCAGGAGCTTTACTGACCTCCATTAAAAACTTGCGCAAGACGCTAGAAAATCTAATTGCCTTTATTAATCGACAATCTCGCAGTCGTCGGTCGACTAGCGTTGATTGCGATACTAAGTACAAGTTAGGTACACCTTATGAGAGCCACAACCACATAACCCGCCTCCACATCTAGTAAACCCCACGACAGTGGGGAGGCCTCAATAAAGTTGTGTTGCCTTCTCAGAACCCGGCTATATGAGGGGTTGTGGTTGTCGCAGCGACTGCTGTCGTGCTTGGTCGCTCATTTATGACCATAGAGCACAGAGCGTAGAGGCAGTTAGCGAGTGCATGTATCTCAAAGATACACGCACACACTTAGAGTGCAATGCCTAGCTTCAATCAGAGCTCTGCTTGACGCTTCAGTGATTGTCGAGCCACTCTTCTGCTCTTTACTTGCCAGAAATTCTTTGTTTTGTTCGTTTGACTGTGATTTCGAGTCCAGAAACCAACAGTTGGGGTAATGCAGTCACGCCTGAAGTGCACAAAAATTTGACATGAAAACAGGACTGAAATCGCCGCGTTCAAGTTTAAACTCAAATTTTATGACTTTTAAGATTGTCAAAGCTAGCCGAAACCTCGCCTGCTATGCATAAGTCTCTTACTTAAATCTCATACTAAGTTTAGAGCAATGATATTGCCAAGAACCACAAGTTAATGCTCAACCTTCAAAAGTCTAGTATCCATATCTTATGGATTTACATCTATTCAAATATCTATGTGAAAGAAGGCACGGGTCTTTTTAATTTCTTCGCAGAAGGGAAATCGGAAAAAAATTGGAAAAGTCTTGAATGCACATTTGTTGTTTGCCATCCGATCGGTCTTCAAATGTATTTGAGACTATTTTTATATTCTTGGCACCTTGAAAACGGTTTCAATAATGTTTACTGATTGTCAAGGCTTTTAATATTTAATTAATCATCAGTAAAAGCTTTTTGTGTGATTACCAATTATTTTGTTTTTTTGTTTTATTTTAAGCACCGTTGGCGATTTAATTAGCGTTTGTGTGTAAATCGATTCCAATGCATTATTTATCGTTTCCGACACTAAGGTCAATGTATCTGAGCGAGTTTTGAGACTCATTGCAGAACAGTCGCGTTTTTAAATAAGTTTGAAAACGCACCGATTCAATACCTTATATATATTGCATTCATTGTAATCTTTATAAATATAAATGTTTCTCCTGACTAACCAATCCGTGAGCAGGTGCTCAGTGCACTTAGTTACTTATTGTGAAAGGGTTGAACACAAAGACGCGGCTTTGTGGAATTCCGCCCGCATGTGTGGAAAAACTACGGAAAACAGTTGTAAGAAATATTTCTGATTATCCGATTAACCTTAAAGGTGTTGTTAATGAAAAACTGTATCAAAGATTTCTAATTACCTAATTAATAATGAATACCTGTTTTAGAGATTTCGAATATCGAATTCCACCCGAAACAGTGGTAAATTGGCGGAAAACGGTTGTAAGAGTTTTTTGTTACAATCAGTAAAAATTTTTTTTCAAATTTGACAGCGCTTTGATGGAAATTGCGGGTCGAAATTTCAATGAACGCAAATTTATTGTTCGATTTTCAGTTTTACATCACAAGACATCAGAAATGGGCGGAAACTGGTTTTTTATTCAATAAACTATGTATATTTTCAAATATTAACGGGTAGATTTCAGTTTTCCACAGGCGCTAACTAAAGTTATATCTAAAATATTAAGCTCATAACTTACAGCGGGCAAAGCCGGGGAATGCACTCTAATACAATATAAAACACATTTAGTCGAGTTCAGGTTACTAAGATTACAAATATTTTGGAGCGAATTGCGAATTTCCATGTTGAAATTCTACTCAATCTATATAAACCAACCATAAGAGAATAACGATAATTTTCATGAATGACGAAGGGGTTAATAAACAGTCCAACTCATTTCATGACTAACTCTTTGCAACTCAGCAGACCAACTGTACTTTTGCATAATCTAAAATTAAAAATATAAAAATTATAGCTAAAAGCAGAGAGTTCTTGCCATTCTATATGCTGCGTACATCCGAAGTGGGATCCCGCCCGCGCACTAACCTTACCTAATCAGGTCATGGCAAGCGAGTTAACGGCAATCCCATGACTAGCATCAGACAATGGGAAAGGTCGCGGAAGCCCAAACGAACCAGTAAATATTCAGGGGATGCAGTATGCAAAGCAAACGAGCGATAATCCCGACCATATGGTAAAACAGCCACACGCACACACACGTACACACACGGACAAGTACACAGAGAGAAAACGTGTAACAGAAAAAAGCCCGTTTAAGGTTTAAGGTAAACGGAAACGGAGCAGCAGAAAATGTTTCGTTGTTGATGAAACTTACAAGCACATGCAGATGTACGTACATACGTATTTACGTATGTATGTATATGTACATGCGTGTGTATGTATTTAAGTTTGCGTGCACACGAAATCGGCAGAAATAAAAAGCGCCAACGCAGACCTGCAAAGGAAAATCAATAGTACGGCATTTTTTTTTTTTTGTTTTTTTTTTTTTGGCTTTTGGCTTCTTTTCTGCCACCAAAATGTGTCATGGAGAGGAGCGTGAATAATTGGAGCAGATTTTTGCTTGTGGAACCCAAATGTATGCCTATAAATAATTGCCTGTTTAAAAGCCAACTCACCTGTTTTAATGGACTTTGTGACTATGCTTCAAGCTTGAGTTTTAATTGGTTAATTTGTTTTTGGCTACGCGTTAAAGTTGAAGTTCACGCGCAAAAATTTTACCAAGCTCAAAAAGCTTTAAGAAATTTGAAACATACCGCCGACCTGCGTATGCATATGTATGTGTGTCTTTCGGGCAATCGTACAGTGCAAATACACACAAAAAGGCATGCACAGCTTTAACTCCAGTACACTTGGTCCGATTACACAACACCAACGTAAAACTTCACGGTCCGCAACGGAGTTGTGCGAAAAGGCGCTGCCGATAAATCTCTGGCTGTTTTAATTATTATTTTACTTTTGCTTCTGCTTCTGCTGCTGATTCTGCTTGTGGCCGCATTAGCACATTTAATTTAATAATTTGTTAGCTAAAGTCGGTTGGCGGAGTTTTAGTTTTGACGAAATGTACACCAATGACAGCACCAACAAAAACTCACACATGCACACATTAATGTATGTATGTAAAACACACAACGCTGGCGTCGGTCGCCCTCCACAACGCAACAACCGCGATACGCGAGCGCGCACCAACAACTGAGAAGAAACCGAAACCAAAGCCGAAAACGAAACAGAGAATAAAACACAACGTACCCGACGTCGCTGCTGACAGTAGATTGCTTCGCGCGGGGGCGGGAGGACTGGATTGAGGGAAGCGCTTTTGCGTTGAGCGCGCTCAGCTGAGCGTTGTTCGAATTTCGAAAGAGCTTTAGACAACAGCAGCTTCTTCGGCATGCAACGGTAGCGGTAACGGTACAACGAGTTGAGCTGTGAGTGCCTAGCAAAAATGCAGCTCTGATTGACGATGCTGCCAAGCTTTTTCAAATGCGAAAGCGCCACTTTTAAATAATTTTGAATATTGTTGACTTTTTAAATTTTGTCGTCTATTCACCAAAAACTATGTAAATATAAAAAAATTGGAAAATTACATTGGTCGCCAAACATCCTCTAAAGCTTCTTCAATGTGGATTATGTCACCCAGCCGAACGGGACCTTGCAATAGGGCAAAATTAGGCAACAACCTTAGCAAAAAGCATTCATTTTTAAAACACTTACCTTTAACAGATCTGAGCATTTGAATACGCGGAAACTTTAACAACTCCACACGCACCGCAGTCAGAAGGCCACGTGCCCCAACGCGACCTAGGACTTTAACGACTCTGGCCGGGGCAATGGACGGTTCCATGCTCTAGATATTTTACAAAATTCCTCTATGATATGAAAGCTAGCGCAAAGATTATTACTAATCTATTGGCCTACTAAGCATTGAGAAATGCAAAATGCGTCTCGACTTTACAAGCATCGAAATCGAACAGCTACGATTAACTAATCATTAATGAATACAGCCTTATTCGAATATTCATTTTTATATTGTGAATAAAAACAACAATATCCTATAACTTAAAAGGTTGCCCAAGTCTCTCGATTTTAAAATTATCGACATACTTCTTTCTTATTGATCGGAGTAAACGAAAAATATATGCTCTTAATATAATATAGTATTAATTGTAATAGGTCGCAAAATGAATAGTAAATAGAATTTTTTTAGACGCAATTAACCGTGACTAAATATACATAAAACTTTCAAGAAATTGTCGATTCATTTAACTGAGTAGATAATGTGGGCCAAGGTTGTATTGAGAACAGGTTAATTTTCGATCGGATATCACTGCTAGAACCAATTAAAACAAGTGTATGTACTAATAGAAGTTTGGGCTACGGAAAGTACCATTAGACTGGCCCGTAATCCTGCTCAAGTCAAGCTGCTCTAGTTTCCAAAGTGCAAAGTCATGCAAGCGAGACAAAGGATCGAAAGTTTCAAGAAGAGTTTCATCGGAGTCTGGTTTTGGGCAGTCGGCAGTCAATTACCGCACAGATTGCACTTCGTATCCGTATCCGATAGTAAAAACAGTTGTTCTCTACAAGACGCCTTAAATGTGTCCTATATAAGTCTTTAATCCTGTAAAGCTGAATCTGAGAAATGTAAGCTATATTTATTTTTAGCCGTGCACACTTTCAAATTTTCCGCGCAGTGTCAGATCCCTCATAATGGCGGCCAGCTCCTCGTCCTTGTGTGCACGCAGATCATCGATTAGCGATTCCCTAAAGCCGACATCCCTGGCCGGATCCTGTGGCAATTCCTGCTTCTGTTTCTCCAGCTGCAATTGTGGCACCTGCACGCTCAATGTCGCACCAATGCGCTCCACACTCAAGCGATCAGACTCTCCAATGCCGATCTGGCTCCAACTGTCCGTGCCGAACCAAATGGAGAGGGCTTCATTGTAGTCGGTGACATGTGCGCGAAACGGATTGGTGGGACTGCCAAAGCCCAGATGGCTGATGGTGTCTCGCAGCACCTTGGCCAGTTTTGGCACACTCTGGGAATAGAACAACACGGCGCCCCCGACAAGATGCGCCATGGAGCGGAGGCAGCGACAAATGTGCTTCTTCAGGGCCGGCTCGAAGTCCATGAAGACGTCGTATTTGCCGCCCACGAGCACAACGGGAAAGGGCAGCAAGTCCAGTGTGCCTAGGTCCTGTTTGACGTGCTTCACACGTTCCAAGGAGCGTCGCTCCATATCCTCACGGAGCTGTGGCGCTGCCAGCTGCATCAGCCGCTGGGCCGTATCTCGCAGTCCCTTATAGGCGCGCTCCACGTCCGCCCAGACTCGCTGCGGCTGGGACAGATCGATTACGACGAAGACGGACAGCTGCTGCAGTCCATGTGTGCGCATGGGCACCTCCAGCAGCTGTTCCGCGTTGTCCAGTGATCCCAGCTCCCACACGTTCAGCACCTGGGCAGATCTGCCGGTGCCCGTGCGGCGACCATAACTGTATTCCAAGGCCATCGTCGGGCGTGTCGTGTGCTCATCCCGATCAAAAAACTTGTTTATAGCCGTCGATTTGCCCTGTACACAGATCCCCTTCTCGGTTATCTAAATCATATCATGTTGAACATCGCCCACTTACCACACCTTTGCTGCCCAGCACGAACAATGTGCGCTCCTTGGGCGCAGTGCTGGCTGCCTCCAATTGGCGCAGGCGTTCCTGCTCCTCCGCCAAGCGACCGGCGATCTCCTGTATGCTGCCAGCTGCACTTAAACTATTTTCGTTGCCCTTCTCAAACATCTTCTGCATTTTCGCATGCAACTTGTACAAAAACTGTGGTAAACGCATGACATAGAAACAGATTGTTTGCATTTTTCAAATGTTGCCATGGCAGCCGGCCAGTGCTGCCCATGCCTTTTTGCCGACAATCTGACAAAACTGCTTGTATTATAATTAATATACACAAGGAATTGTGTACCACATTTCACTTCATATATCCTCTTTTCATATATAAAATAAGCCGAACCGTTAAAACATTGAATAGTGAAATAATATAAGCCACAATAATAATTATACAAACTTATTTAATTAAATATCATAGTTTATTAGCTCTCTTTATTAAAATTATTTTTACAAAATAGTAATTATAAATCATCCATTGTTGAAAAGAACCAGATCTGAGCTACCATGAGTAACCGTTTTGGTACATTTGTACCACATTTGGCTTCGGTGTCTATATTCATATGCACTCGTACAATATACAGAGGTTCGCGTCTAGGGAGCATATTGATAGCCTCTACTACCAAATAAGTGCTTCCACAATAACGGGCACTGCTTGCATTCGCTTACGGGAAACTTGGATTTATTGAATATGCTTTCTCTAGATTTCTTGCGATGTAAGCAAAATTTGGCTCTATGTTCTTCAGTTTTCGATGATTTGAAAATGTTGATGTCTTTGCTGAGCGTTCTACATTTTAAGCTATGTTTTGCTTAGATCGAAAGATGGCGCTGTTTAACGTTCAGGTTTGGTTAGATAGCCAAAACAAGAATGCTATTATTATTATTATTATTATTATTATTATTATGTGGAACGCCTGACATAGAGTTAGCGATACCTTGTGCTGCCACAAACATTTTTAATTACTGGAAATAAGCTGTAGATTGATTTAGATTTAACTAGAAAGTAAATTTAAAGTGTTTCTCTTTGCCACTGTGCACTTAGTACACTGCTTGTGCACTGCTTACGTGACATTTCTGTCGGAAATAATTGGTCCACTGGTGTTTATGTTCCATTGTAGAGAATTTTTACTCTCCACGTTTGCTGTGTGAATGCACTAGATGGCGTCTAAATTGTATGCTGGTAAATGCGTTGTGCTATGTTTCTGGTATATAAAATACACTCTGGCACGATAGATGGCGTTCTCTACACTGCTTGTTTTAGAAAACATAGATTGTCATCCACAACTGACAATCTGGACTATGTTAATTTTTTCGATATTGTTGTTTCTATGTATTTTGTTAATTCTATATTTTAAAATTTGGTATGCCATAAACATATTTGTCAACTGCTTTGCAGGCAGCTTCTCCTACTGAAAGCCAGGTGGCGTGATTCTAACAAAAAGGAGTACATTCTAGGATCGTTTGTGTGTATGCATGTGCATAGTGTGTACACTTATGTATGTGCATCTCGTTCGCACTGCACGGCCAAGATTTACACACATACACAAAATGCACCCATATACATATGTTTATATACATATTTTGTGTGTATGTCGATTAGTATTTTCTTCAACAGATCGAAGCTGCTTTAGTTTTTTGGATAGATCCTTTTGTGCCTGTGTACAGCTTCGTCCAGTCAGGCATACTTCGAACAATCTGATGAATTTGAAAATAATAAAAACTTAAATTAGAACATGTATGTACATGTTTTTTTAATTTTATTTAGAAATCCTAAAAACTTTAAATCTTGGCAAATCGGCATTGAATAGACAGGTAAAGAACAGGCACAGAAAACGCATAAATGCTGTACGGACGCATAACCAATACATTTAAACTATCCGTAGACATTTATGAGAGAGAACTGAGAGCACTGAGAGGAAGTCAAGGCAGGTGCCTGTGGTGGGAGCGAGATAAAAAACGGGCTTTTACGTTCTACAGCACAAATCATATGACTCTCTCTCACTCTCTTGCTCTCGCTCACTCTCTCACTTACTTGCAAGTGAGCAAGTTTCGGAACCGAACAAAAACGAAGTGGACTTGGGACGAGATCAGGACGATTAGCATTAACAAGCGAAGAGCGAAGAGTGAAAAGCCAGCTGAAGCCAGCTGAAGAGCTACAATCAATGCGGATTCATATAGTCTGTGTGCAAATTGTGCTGACAGGTGGTCGAGCAAATGGGCTTTGGCTTTTGACAATATTACTTATCTCTGTTTGAGCAAGACGCCCGCCGCTCCATCAGGCTGATTCGCTTTTGCTTTTAGTGCTGCGCAGCATAACCGAGCGCCAAGTCATCAAACATAATTACTTTGCCCCAAGGCATGCGCCAATTGACATTTTGGTGGCAGCCCCGACGAGTCCGACAAACTCATTAGCCTGCGTTGCTCAGTTTCAACTTTAAATCGGGTCAGCTCCATTCTGGCCGTGGGCTCCAATTGATAATGAAATTCGTCGGGTTGGCCTTTAGCTGAGACGCTGCACTTAGGATTGCTCCGGTCGAATCGAACTATGCAATCGCCTCTCAGCCAGCGATAAGGTCCATGGCACGAGTTTTGTTTTTGTTGCATCTCCCTCGCACTTTGTGGCCTGCCTCGGAGGTTGGGTGTTATTTGTACGCCCTGTGCCCACTGAAAAAGTAGTCGACCCTCAAAATATCTCTTGAAGTTCCCATTTGTCTAAGATCTCACGTCTATATAAATGTTTATATGCCTTGTCTCCCTTTCAAAACTGCCAAAAATTGCAACCGGGTAGTTGGAATGTTAACAAGAGGCTTACATGTTGCCCGGAGCACAGCCTAAGCTACCGAGCTGTGTACAGAGTATCTTCTAGTCGGGCACCCTTGCTTGTTAAGCGTGCAATTCGTTCTTGATTACGTGCTCGCGGCCTCTGACTGCAACCTTGTAGACGGTCCTTTTGGACCTGGTGTGTTTCCGCTCGAGCTGCGTCTGCCTTTATATTGGCCGTGCTTATATCCTTGTGCTTATTTATGTTGATTAATCTAACGAATATCTCATTTCTATGATAACTTAACTAGTTGGTACCTGGCTTGTACGGTTAGCTAGTTTAAGAGGTTACATAGAGATAGGAGTCGAAAGGCCTTCATACTGAATAAAGTTCTTTTATCCTGCCCCAAAGCAAAAGTTCATGGAACTAGCATGCATCTTTCTTACTTACTACGAACTTTGGTGCTTTTGGCTGTTCTTCAATTAAAAAGAAAAA